CCTAAGAAGGTTAGTAGTTGCTAGCGTCTGATTTTCGTCTTAAAGAGGGAGCGTAGGCTAAGCCTAAATGGGACACTATCTTTCAGTCTTTTGCGTTCTTCACTATATTCGGGGCATCGTAGTATTAGATGCTGTGGTGATTCAGGCTTGTGACTGCATATGCAATAATTAGTGGGTGTTTTATTGAATCGTTTTAGGTATGTCCCAAAGTAGCCGTGTTATAGCTTAAGCTGGAAAAAGGCGCTAGCAGTGGATCTAGCCGTTTTGGGAAGCTGTATTCGAGAGTGAATTCGTGGGTTAAAAAAGTCAAAGTAGTGGCCTTTGCCGCTAGCTAGAGCATTCGCCCACGCATGCCGTCGGATTTGGTTGATTTTTATGCCTATATAGGCATAGCTTATATGGGCAGCCAGGGCGGTCTGGGTGGTCGGAAGTGATTTGGACCCCAATTTAGCCAGTTTATCCGCCTCTTTATTTCCATTGATGTCTTGGTATCCGGGGACCCACTCTATTGCTAGCGTGGATCCGTTTTAGGCTATTTTAGTGGCGGCTGCAATAGCGCGTAACTAGTGAATTTGGCCCGGATTATCGGAAGGCCGCGCTAGCCTATAAATGGCTGCTTGGTTGTCTGCGTATATCCGAATATCCCTATTTAGGCCTAGTCTCGTCGCATCTTTAAATGCTAGGGCAATGCCTTCTAGCTCTCTATTATAGACGATTTGGTGCGGACCTATATTTCGGGCTAGTCGTATAAAAGGGCGACTAGCGCATTTATAGCCCGCTAGTCCCACTCTAATTCCGGTGCTTTTAGGCATTTGCGACCCGTCTGAGTAGTATGACACCTGATTTAGCAATTGTGACCGTATTTGCCAGCGGTGTATCGTGGCAGTTTCCTCTTTTAGCAATTTAGCGATTCATGTGTCCCAGGGGACAGAGCGGTTCTAAGGGGCAAAGTGGAAGTGGTATATAGGTTCGATTTTGCCGCTAAGCAGGGGTGCAATAGTCCTAGCAATCGTCTAAAGTCCGTATCCGGATGAATAGCTGGATTTGGCAATTTAGCGATTTACTAGATAGTCCGGACTTAGCTTAGCTAGCTGGAAAGCGTATTTACGGGTGGCTGTATCTAGTTGTATTGCGGGCAGTGGGAGGCTAGCTTCGACTTCCATGGCCTGAATTGGACTAGTTCGAAAAGTGCCTAGGATTTTGCGTAGTGCTAAATTTTAGAGGTGCTATAGGTGGTCTTTTGCATATGCTTAACCTTGCCACCAAATTAGTGACGCATAGTTGGACATGCTAGTAATATAAGCCAGGTATAGCTATCTAAAAGCGGTAGGACTAAGCCCTTGTTCGCTATTAGCCAGCCTAGACATACGTCCGAATGCGGACTTAGCCTTAGCAGTGCGGATAGTGATATGCTCCTTAAATCGTAATAGGGCGTTGAAGTAAATACCAAGCCACTTAACTATCTACTTTAGGGGGACTATAGTCCTATCTAGGAGTATAAGGGACGCTAGCTTAGCGCGTTCGCCTGTGCTAAAGTAAATCAGTTTAGACTTTTTCAGGTCAAATTAGATTGCGTTTTCACTAGCTAGCTAAAAGAGCTCTTTAGCTACTAGCTGCAGTATCTTGACGTTTTTGCAGGGGCTAGTTGATGCGAAAGAGAGAGTAATATCGTCTATATAAGAGATAAATTTAACTGCACGTGACCTAAATAGGCCTCGTATATAGATTAAGAAAAGGATAGGTGAAATAGGGCTTCCTTATAGGATTCCGGTCTAAATAGGCTGGTTTTCATCCGATTATCCGTTAAATAGAAGCTTAAGTGACCGCCCGCTTATAAAGGATAAGACCCACTTAATAACCAAATCAGGAAAGGCTAAATCCTTAAGAATTATAAGTAGCCAGTTCTTAGATATATGGTTATATGCCCCTTTCACGTCTAGTAGAAGCGTACTAGTGATTTTGTTTCGTAGCTGATTTGTATAGACATAATCCGCTAGCATAGCGCCTGCGTCTATAGCTGACTTTTTAAGTCGGCCACTGATTTGGCTAGGATGCAGCAGATTTGGTGTGGTTTCAGCTAAGTAAGCTAGTCGCTTAGCTAGGATCCTTTTACTCACTTTACCTAGGCAATTTAGAAGTGAAATCGGCTGATACGTGCTAGGCTGTTTATAGTCTGGCTTGTTATTCTTTTGTAGTATAGCGCAATTCGCTTGGCGCCAGCACTTTAGATGATAGCCAGTGTTTACTAGCGTCTCAAAAAGGAGTGAAATCTGGGAAGGGCATGCTGAATATGCGTGGGTAATAATGGTCTGGGTAATATAGTCCGGGCCGGGGCTAGTGGATTTGATTTCACTAGAACAGGCTTGCTTTACTTTGTCTGGTGCTAGCTTTGGCTATTGCCACTGGTCTGAGGCGGTGTATGATGTCTACTTCGGGCTAGCTGTTTCGGGAGGTGGAGGGAAGAGCGTCTGGCGGAAGAGGTCGCATTTAGTAGTGAATGTGGTTGTAAAATGGGTGGCAGAAAGCTTTAGATTTGGGACTAGCTCTGACCGCCTTGACTTCGTATAGGCTAAGGCTTTAAAAATTGATTTAGAATCCTCTTTTTCTAAAAACTGGTTCTAGTGATCCTTTTTGGCTGTCTTGATAGCCTGAAAGTATGTATTGCGGGCGCTAGTATAGCGCTCATTTGATTGGCTGGAAAACGCTCGCTTAGAGGCCTCTCTAGCCCGATTTATGTCGCGTTGAAGTGATTTTAGTGAATCGTTCCACCAAGGCTTAGCGTGTGGCGCTAACTGGATTTGGGGTATGGCATTGTGTGCAGCGTATAAAATGGCGCTAGTATAACGTTCCGCCATATCGTCCAGACGGTCTAGGGTTGCTTTATAGCTGCGTTTTGCGTTGATTTGTTCTAAGCTCTTTAAGCTTAAATTGGAGCTTAAAATGTAGCTATAGGCCTGTAGCTCATTTTGGAGCGGTGATAGCTGGCAGAAAAGTTTTTCCCTAAATTTGGTCCAATTTGCCCGTTTTGTGTCGAAACGGGTGGTTTGTGGATCCGCTAGTCCTATTCGGGAACCGTTGATAGTGAATGTGATCCT